TCTGATTTTGCATATGAGCCACTGCGAAGGGCTGGCCCGCGCTAATCAGGCAGGCAGAGTCCTCGCTAATGAAGTCATCGCTACAATCGCTGACGTACCAGCGGTGGGGCAGCGCGGAGTGGGTGTGCTGATCAGGGAAGCGCGAGGGTCCCGCGGAAGAGCTGGAGAAGAGCGATTCGCTCTGGCTCTGCACCCTGACTCCGGAGAGGGGGCTCGAGGGTTGGGGGAAAGGAGACCGTCCCCCCAGCGCTCGTGAGCCACTGGCGAAGCACATAGAACCTGCGAGCTGGAAAGAAGCGCGTCCCGGACTGGCAAGGTTCGTGCTGTCACATCCGGGGAGTGGAAAAGTGCTCTTTCATTGATGTTTTCGTGGCACTGAAAAGTACCGTTGGAATAGGGGCGCCGCCCTCCAGCGGGGAAACAGCAAGTTTCCTCTTCTCTGGACGGCCTGTCTCAGGGACGCTTCACGGTCTGTTTACCGGACTTAACGTCGCCCTGGGCAGGGGGAGCTGCCTGCTTTCGAGGTGCTCGACGCGCCCGCTTGGGAGAGGCGCAGGCGGGGGCGGGGCAGCACTCATTGGTAGGCGCCCTTGGCGAGGAGCAGCGGAGGTGGATGGCTTGGCGGAGAGGGCTTACGGTCCCGCCGATAGATGACATTAACCATCGCATCCGACTGCTCTCTCACCGCCTGGGATATGGGCGAGTCAAGAAAGCGAACTTTCTCGACATCGCGCATATCAGCCAGGTTGAGCCAGAGGTGGCGTTCCTGGACAACTAGTGGGGACATCATCCTCCCCAGCGCACACGCGGCGGACTTAGTAGTCCGAAGAGCATAGTCGGTCGGCTCTGGCTCCGAGGGAGGCAGACAACCTACAGGCTTTGGACGGGAGTAAGGTGCCCTCCAAGACTGCGTGAGCCTACTGTGCACCTCCGGGAAGAAGGGGAAGAGAGGCTTCGAAGGCTTCGCCTTCTGGTCCACTACTTAACACCCATCTAGTCGGTCCGGCCGCGGAGCTGGGGGATGAACCAACTCCAACCCCACGGCCGAAGCTGCCCGGGAAAGCATGGCTAACATGTCCGCCTCAGGATCCGTTTTGACGGAGGGGGCGAGCGGGTCTGGATCTTCGTCGGAGAATGAAAACCCACCCTCCGATGCCGCGGTGGACGTCTGGTCTCCGGTGTCAGCCAGCGTGAGAGCTACCATCTGGTTAGAGGGAGCACTCCCTGCGCAATGGTCATGGCATCGCAGTGACGACATGAACTGCCCGCGAGCACCACATTAACATGTTGGACCCCCAAACATGTAATGCATTGATCGTGTCCATCATCCGGAGCCAGGAAACCCCCGCATCCAGAAACGCACAGTCGGAGCACCATCCTGAAAAGGACGTGCTGCACAACTGTCTTGCTCTTTTAGGAAAAAATGCAACTTATACCACCTGTGCTTATATGCTGGGTTAATTGGCAATGAAGCACACCTGCGCAAGCTTACGCTGCCAATTCATTGGCATTCATTGGCCCGTTCCATACTCTTTCAGACAAGTGGCTTTTAAAACGAATCCTCCCAATTTGTGGATTTTCTAAAATCAAATCCACCAATAGCATTGGAGTTCCCCACCCAAAGGGGAACTAAGGAATGAGTTGTAGTGAAATAAATCATTGGCTGTGTCTGAAATTGCTCAATAAGTATTGCATTTGAATTTAAATATACTGCTTGACAATTAGAAAAGTATGTTCTATACAGTATAAATGTGAGTAGTATGAATGGAACTTAGAAGTACTACATTCTTCATTTTGTCATCATTGTGTGACCTACCCACATCATTTGCTTTGCTTCACTCTCATTCATGAATTCTCTCGCAGGGCATCATAGGATAGCGTGGGATTTTTCAGAAAAAATGGTACAATGTTGTACCAAGGAAGGTAGCTACAAACTCTTGTCACTGGGGCAGTACCTTTTTATGCAACAAAATTGTACCTTAAGACAAAGAAACAAATTTGTACTATTGCAGTTTGTACCTTTAGGGACATGATTTGTACCATGGGAAACCAAAATGTACCTTTGTTTTTAAAAACCTATATTATTACACCATCAAATCTGATCTATTAAGGTACCACTACAGTGATAAGACACTTTGTACCTTAACAGTGTCAAAAATGCTTAACAAACATTTATTTGAAGTGCCCCAAATGTTTAATTGATTTTTGGGGGAGTGACGCGGTAGTGCTGTCGCCTCACAGATAGAAGGTCGCTGGGTTGCTAGTTTGAGCCTCGGCTCAGTTGGTGTTTCTCTGTGGAGTTTGCAGGTTCTCTCTGCACTCGCGTAGGTTTCTTATGGTTTCTCCCACAGTTCAAAGACATGCGGTACAGGTGAATTGGGTAGGCTAAATTGTCCGTAGTGTATGAGTATGTCTGTGTGAATGTGTGTGTAGATGTTTCCCAGAGATGGGTTGCAGCTGTGTACAAATGTGCTGGATAAGTTGGCGGTTCATTCCGCTGTGGCGACCCTTGATTAATAAACGGACTAAGCCGAAAAAAAATAATTGAATGAATGAATCATGATTCTTGTTTTAATATGGTAATTATTCATGAAATCACTTTGCCTTTCCAGTCATATTTATTTTCATAGATAATGTAATAATGAAGGAGTTGTTCAACACCTTTGTACCTTTTATATGAGAACAAGTTTTACCATAAAAGGCACAGAATAATATCATGTAAGGGGTCTTTTTGGTACCCTATAAGTAAAAATTTTTACCAAAGTACAAAACCATTTGTGTCACTGTGTATCTTTTTCTGAAATTGTATGCACACTTCAGAATCTCGCCAGAAGTTGTAAATCATCCGGGTTCTTCTCTCATTCTATTTTTCGAATTCTATAGCCTCCTTTCCCCTGCACACAACAAATGAAAAGCAACCGGACAGACCGGAAGTTATTCATTTCCTATGGAGAGTAGTTCTAGAGCTGCGTGGAGTTCTAATTATTCTATGTTTGTGGAAAATTCGGATCCGAATTAAGCTGCGAATACGTTGAAATATTTGAACACCTGTGACTAGACCATATGCGACAGGGATGTATTTTAGTGTTGTCTGAGCAGGTCCTAGTGCACAAGATGAGAAATATTTTTATTTATTTTTTTGCATCAGAAAATGTCTATAATATTAAAAAAACATTGCTATTCATAAATTAATAATAATTTTTTATTTTTTTTTAAGTTGTCTCCACATTCCCTCCAATATTTTTGTTGCAGTCTATGGAATTCTATTGAATGACTGTGGTCAATGCACAGAGAATAATGGCTCTTGCTTTTGCACTCTTTTATTTGAGACACTGCGAGAATAGCCTCTGCTCGATAGAACTGAAAAGCTATTGCCACAAGGGAGCATATTCTGTTAGTCGTGCAGTGGAAAGGCGGCTAATGAATTCGTTCATGCTACCTGGCACGTATACTGTTTTTAGCGTACTATGTAGTATGGAAGTGTGCGATCAAAGAAGCAGTCGTTGGTCTAGTTAGGTGGATATGCAAGTTTTGGATGTTTATATCTTCTAAATGCAAATGTTTTCACTGTTGGAGCACACATAATATATCCTTAAAACAAACCTACTGATACTAACATTGTTTTGATTTCATGAGGAATTTAACTCTAATTTTAGTGCTTTATACCTGTTCTGGGCGAAGCAGTGGCGCAGTAGGTAGTGCTGTCGCCTCACAGCAAGAAGGTCGCTGGTTCGATCCTCGGCTCAGTTGGCGTTTCTGTGTGGAGTTTGCATGTTCTCCCTGCGTTTGTGTGGGTTTCCTCCGGGTGCTCCGGTTTCCCCCACAGTCCAAAGACATACAGTACTTGTGAATTGGGTAAGCTAAATTGTCCGGTGTGTGTGTGTGTGTGTGTGTGTGTGTGTGTGTGTGTGTGTGTGTGTGTGTGTGTGTGTGTGTGTGTGTGTGTGTGTGTGTGTGTGTGTGTGTGTGTGTGTGTGTGTGTGTGTGTGTGTGTGTGTGTGTGTGTGTGTGTGTGTGTGTGTGTGTGTGTGTGTGTGTGTGTGTGTGTGTGTGTGTGTGTGTGTGTGTGTGTGTGTGTGTGTGTGTGTGTGTGTGTGTGTGTGTGTGTGTGTGTGTGTGTGTGTGTGTGTGTGTGTGTGTGTGTGTGTGTGTGTGTGTGTGTGTGTGTGTGTGTATTTTCCAGAGATAGGTTGCAGCTGGAAGGGCATCCGCTGCGTAAAAGCTTGCTGGACATTCTGCTGTGGTGACCCCGGATTAATAAAAGGGACTAAGCCAACAAGAAAATTAATGAATACCTGTTCTGCCACACTGAGATTGCTTGCGGCAAAAGTTGTTTTGTTACTTAAAAAACAGAGAGCAGATTTAATGTTTCCCTCATTCCATATGAATTAAATAACAGGCCTGTTTATTTATGGTAAGGAAAATGACAGCGCAACATAAAACTTAAAGCACACAGAACTCTCAGAAAGTCAAGTCCCTGTAGGCTGGGGACCAAAACATTGTCAGTAATAAATTTCAACTCATGCTGGTTTTTAGCTAATACCCAACGATTGTCAACTAAATCTTATTTGGAGCCAAACAAACACAACGGGATTAAGAAAACAATCGTTTTTTTGCAACTGAAAATGTAAATAATAAAAACATCAATTTTTTTATTGGGCACAAAGTGAACTGTTTTCTTGAATTCCTAACTCTGGCTTGCATTACTAGGTGGTCCTTGCTACCAGATGTAGAATTTATAAATCTAACCCCCTTGTCTAGACATTTTCCAGCTACAACATCAGTTGTTTTTTTATTTAATCGTCCAGCCGTCAGTGTTGACCCACCCCCTAGTGATTTCAAAAAACATGCACATAAACTTCTCACCAGCTTCAAGTTCAGTGGTGTTGAGGTTAATGTGAAGAATCTAATTTTATGGCGGTGACTCAGTGCAACACTTCTACACCTTGACCTGACCTCATCTGTGTGTTTTTGTCTGTGTGTTTTGTGTGTGTGGTCAGGTTTGGCATCCGTTGCAGGAATGTGCGAGCCTGAGAGGAGCTGCAGCATTAATGAAGATATAGGTCTCGGTTCAGCCTTCACTATTGCACATGAGATTGGACACAAGTGAGGACATTTTCTCTTTCTGTCTAATTTATGTTTCTGTCTGGCTGTTTGTGTGAAAAAAATTAAATGTATTTATGTTAATTGTTGCTAGTTTGTGGTGTTTGAATCCTAAATCATTTTGTTTACAGTGATTTTATACGCTTGTGGTGTTTATGGGATTTGTATATTCATTAAATAAAAAATCTAAGACTAGAAATAATTGGGAGAAGAGTGTAGGAGAATGTTGCAAGCCAGATTTGAACTCACTGTTTTGATGATAATGATGATGATGATAATAATAATAATAATAACAATAATAATGATAATAATAATGATAACAACAACTACAACAATAATATTAATGGGTGTCACAATGGCACAGTGGGTAGCACGATTGCCTCACAGCAAAAAGGTCGCTGGCTCAAGTCTCGGCTGGGTCAGTTGGCATTTTTGTGTGGAGTTTGCATGTTCTCCCCATGTTCGCATGAGTTTTTTTACATCTGCTCTGGTTTGCCTCATAGTCTAAACATGCAGTATAGGTGAATTGAATAAGCTAAATGGGTCATAGTGTGTGAATGAAAAAGTGTATAGGGGTTTCCCAGTGTTGGGTTGTGGCTGGAAGGGCATTCGCTACGTAAATACATATGCTGAATAAGTTGGCGGTTCATTCTGCTGTGGCGACCCCAGATTAATAAAGGGACTAAGCCGAAAAGAAAATGAATAATAATAATATTTATTATTATTATTATTATTATTATTATTATTATTATTATTATTTTACATTTAAAAATTAAAATCTAAATAACAAAAGTTTTTTTTTTGTTTTGGGACCATTATTATCCATTAAAAATAAATCTTAAAAATGAATTGGTTTTAGTATGGTAACAAAACTTTGCAAATGCAAATACACATTTTTATAATAATTTAAAAAAAATATATATGTTCAAGTAAATTTAACCGAAAATGTAAGGTTTTGTATTCGGGTCATTTTGGACCTGGGATTGTAAAGAGTTAATTATGAAGTGATGTTAGTGTTAGGAAACTTTGGTAAAATATATAACCTTTTCCCCAAAATTCAATTCTTTGATTGACACGTAACACATCTTGCTTTCACAAAAAAAGTTATTTATCTTTCATTTATATCCATTCTTAATAGCTTATTTAAGTTTTGAAATAGCTTATTATTTCAGTGCATGATTGAATGCTTCTTTAAATACACAGAAAATTCTTATTTGTCTTATTTGTGTTTAATTTGATTGAATAAACACAGACATGGCCATTTTTCCAAAAAATAGGCTATTTATTTATTTTGAAATATGTTATATTTATTTAGCCTGTATAGGGTATAAAATATATTTAACTTATTTATAGAAACTATATTAAATTAAATTACAACTTGTTTATTAATAGCTAATCAAAGAACATTTAACTAAGCTCTGTGAAAGGTTTTGTATGTCAGCCTACAGTCAATAGTATATATATATTAATGAATCAATATATATTGATTCATTAATTTTCTTGTCGGCTTAATCCCTTTATTAATCCGGGGTCGCCACAGCGGAATGAACCGCCAACTTATCCAGCAAGTTTTTACGCAGCGGATGCCCTTCCAGCCGCAAACTATCTCTGGGAAACATCCACACACACATTCACAAACACACTAATACACTACGGACAATTTAGCCTACCCAATTCACCTGTACCGCATATTTTTGAACTATGGGGGAAACCAAAGCACCCTGAGGAAACCCACGCGAACGCAGGGAGAACATTCAAACTCCACACAGAAATGCCAACTGAGCCGAGAATCAAACCAGCGACCCAGCGACCTTCTTGCTGTGAGGCAATAATATATATATAAATATATATATAACTGGCCAACTACTGAGAATGAAGCTCGGCTGCCCTCTACTGGTAATGAATTTCTCTGAGGGCTGTGCCTACCGTGGCTAGTCGTGGCATTCTGTTTTCTGACACACGCATTTCTAAAGGCCACATCTGTATGTGTATTCCTTTTCATTCCACTGGGGTTTAAAACAGGTAATTCTCAGACTATATGGTATTACATATTTAATGCAATAATATATTGATGTAAAAAACATTTTAAAAACACATTTTCTATCAATTTTCCTTCGATTTCCTTCAATTTTTTTTGATGTTCCATCTGTAATTAGAAATTTCAAGGAATTACACATTATTGTTTAAATAGTAAACTATAGTAAAAAACTAAAAGTTGCAGATGTGATACGATATTAAAAAGCATCTAAAAGTGGTGTAACCCTTTCATAAATTCTCCCTGAATGTTTAATGAAGACTCTATTAGAGTCTCTATTAGAGGCTGCGTTTGTTTGTGTCTGGATTCATTTTATTGTGGTCATTATTACTATATGTGTTCCTCTAGCCAAAAATGCAAAACTTGAGCTGCCTGAACACACATCTTTATGCAAATCACAGTCTGGACAAATGAACCCTATCCCGAAAGCTTAGAAAAATAACCAATGATCTATTAGTCTACGTAGCGTTTCGGCAGAGTTCAGCAAGATGGCAATTTCCTCTATTATGCGTTGTGTCTGCTTCTGTTGTGGAGCAGTTGTAAAAATAGCCCCGGCTTCTTGTGGGGAAGGTTTCTCCCGTGCTGATTTATATTGAGAGTCGAGTGAAATGTCATAAATGTGCACCTTAAAAAAACACAAAGGAATTGTGTGATGTGGTGGTGGGGTGGGGTGGGGTATGTTATATGCATTAGAGGCTGATTTTTGCTTTCCCGTAGACCAACAAAACCTTCGAGGTATTGCAGTAAGGCGATCTGAAGCTTTCATACAATATCCAGACAGATATGCAGTGAAACTGAGTTTGCATGGGTCAAATGATGTATTTTTGGAGTTGCCGGCAAGGAATGTGGCTGAATGCTTCAGCAGTCTTGTCCGCTGATGGCCCGTGAGTAGATGAAAGCCGCTCTTAGGAAAGGGAAAAGCAGGCCAGGTTCATTAAGAGACGACCATCTGATTGAGGTCTGCTCAAACATGTAATTATTGATTGACAGACCAGGATCAGGGTGGTGATTATAACTTTCGCGTTCCTCCAGAGCTCCAGACAGCCTCTGGCCTTTGACCCGTCTGTCCTCTTCTCACAGCTGTTACCAAGCCAGAAAGAGCTTTTCTTTACAGCTCAGCTGAAAAAAGCACTCTCCCCTCCTGAGCTTTCAGAGCTGCCCAAGCTTGTTTGCGCTGTGATTGACGTGATCCATCAAAGCTGATGATCTGATACTTGTCTCGCAGCTTCGGCATGAATCATGACGGGATCGGGAACTCCTGCGGGACTAAAGGTCATGAGACAGCCAAGCTGATGGCTGCCCATATCACTGCCAACACCAACCCCTTCTCCTGGTCGGCCTGCAGCAAGGACTACATTACCAGCTTTCTGGAGTAAGTGGAAAGAGGATTTGAAGAATTGCTTGTTTTATCTGTGATGTTACAGATTTTGTAATCCAAATATATGGGTCGCATTAATAGCAAAAGTTCACACAGAAATATTGAACACTGACCAACTGCACAAATGAAATATAAGTATTTATTTTAAACCTCTGATTAATAGAAATCCAATTTAAGTTTCACTCATAAAATATCATGTATCCCGGACGAGCCCCCAATGTCTGTTACAACCACTAGGGGTTAGCAATAACAGAAAGAAACTTCAGAAGCAATTACATTTTTATGAGGTGGGAGATTCTTCAGTGACAGACACGACCAAAATAGCAAACAAAACAAACTTTTTATGAAACTAAGTTACCTGTTATAAGAATAATATAGAAAACTAAATACAATCCAACTTCCCTTCCTCCCTTAACCATTAACAAAGTAAAAAAAAGAAAAAACATAAATAAAATGCCGTCTAGTCCCCTACAATGGAACATTTTAGTCTGTTTGTTTTTTTGCAGATAAAAGATTCTGTCTATGCTTTTACTCTCTGTCCTTTTACCAATTATACTTGACGATTGAGAAAAATCGTTAATCTTTGTGCTGGATTTGAAACTGAGTCGGTTCATGGCTAGATGAGAGTGTGGAAGTTGATCTGTTGTAGGCTAGTCTGTGAATTGTTAGCCTAACGTAAGACGAAGGAAAAGAATAGTGGTTGCCATGGCTGTCAGAAAGTTTTCCTGCTGAATGACCTCATGGAAGAAGATTAACATCACAGCCATCGCTGGCATCACAGGCTTTATCATTGTGTGCCAACTTCCCACACAAACACAAAGAGACGCTGCTCTGTTGGTTTGGGATGAACTCCCTGTTGTATAATCACATCGTGTCATCTGTGACCATTTTGGATTGAGGTTGAATACTAACCTTCCTTTTTTTGAATTTGCTTAGCGCGGAGCAGTTCATCAATAATGGACCTTCCCTGAAATCTCAGGTTGATGTAATCTTTGGCAGTGAAGTGGCTCTGCTATGATAATGCTAGTCTATTACCGCAACATTCACATCTAACAGATTCTGGATGTGCGGAAGAGGCTTTCCTTGCCAGAAACCAGTGTTTGGCTGAAGATTGTGACTTATTTCAGATTACATGTTTGCACATGTACAGTAGGATATTTCAATAAAGAAAGAGGGTTTTGGAGAAAGGGCTAATATTCTGGTTAGCCTATCACTTAGTGCAGTGATTATTAGCGGTAGACTGGTATATCTAACTGGCCTATCACTTATCAAATATAGTGTATGGTCATTTTGAGATCAACCTTTTGTGCTAAAATATAAAATAACCATGTACCTAATTAAGCCAAAAATACCTCAAATATCTAAAATACCTTTTGTGTAGGGCATCACAGTGGCAGATTGGGTAGCACGATCGCCTCACAGCAAAAAGGTTGCTGGTTCGAGCCTCGGCTGGGTCAGTTGGCATTTCTGTGTGGAGTCCAAAGACATGCTCTATAGGTGATAGGCTCTATAGGTATTTGGTAAACTAAATTGTCCATAGTGTATGTGTGTGAATGAGAGTGTATGGGTGTTACCCAGTGATGGGTTGCAACTGGAAGGGCATCTGCTGCATAAAACATGTGCTGGATAAGTTGGCGGTTCATTCAATTGTGTGGCAACCCCTGATTAATAAAGGGACCAGGCTAAAAAAGAAAATGAATGAATGAATGAACATTTTGTGTAATTGTGGTATAATTTGTCAAATAAGTGTTACATTTTATTAAACTGTTTTCTACCCTATTCTTTGAAATGCTAATATAGCTTATACAACAAGTGTTTACCATGTGCTTGATTCAGATTAGCTGATGAACATTCTATTATGTGCAATGGAGTGTTTATCCTATTCGTTTTATTCATAAGGATTCAAAAATGTTGTAAGTCATTAACTCAACCAAACCAAATCAAACCAATCTGCTAATGCTGAGTTCAGACTGCCCCAAATTGCCCCAAAAATCAGTGTCTTCAAGATCACTAGAAATCTATAAGCAGGTGTGTGTGATTAGAGTTGGAGCTAAACTGTGCAGGACATCGGCCCTCCAGGACTGAGTTTGCCCACCCCTGAAATAAAGTAATGATCTTTATCAATTTGACAGCACACATGTTGCAAATTCTCACAAAACAAACAACTGAAGAAACACGCTCCAAATTGGTCACAACACAAAGAATTAGAGAAACGCACTGCAAATCAGTCACAACACTTGCAAATATCCATGTAACACAATGGAAATGTTTCAAGGAAATCTAAAAACATGACGGATATAATAATACGTTATTATGCCCTGCCTGTTGCTCAGTGAAGTAATTGATAGTCTTTGAAAGGTAAGTTGTTTTTCATTTATTTTAATATCTTGATTACACAACATAATATAGCTCATACTACACAGTGTAAATCAAGTGCTTGATTCTGATTGGTTGATGAACGTTCTATTATGTGCAATAGAGTGTTTATGCTATTCGTTTTATCCACAGGGATTCAAAAATGTTGTAAGTCATTTACTGAACCAAACCGATCTGCTAATGCCGAGTTCAGACTGCATGATTTCCCCATTTTTGACTCGCTGACAGGTTTTGAAAAATCGCAGACAAATGCATGAAATCAAAGGCATATCGGTGCTCGTTCATTTGCAAGTGTTGTGACAAATTCCTGCGCCTTTCTTCAGTTGTGTGTGTTGTGACCTGTTTGCTGCTCGTTTCTTTAGTTGTTTGTGTTGTCACCAATTTACAACACTTGTTCTGTCAAATTGATGAAGATCATTTCTTTATTTGCTGGTGTTTTTTTGTAAGTGCATGTGCTTTCTCAAATTGCAGCAGGGTAAGCTCTCTCAGCCACCATAAAAATCATACAGAGTGAAAAGTGCTGTGTTCTGATTGAAAATAACATCTGCAATTCCCTACAGCCTATGAGAGAGCAGCATCCACTGGTATGAGTATCTGCAGGCCAGCGGGAGGTTAGGGGAGAAGTTAAAATCGCTTATTTTTGGTCTATTTGGACTCAAGAAATGAAAGAAAAACTAGTGTAAATTTGACAGGAGCACTCGTGTCTGTTTGATGCGTCATCCTAGTATTACCACAACTGGGTGGATAAAGAAAAATTTGGAGAGAGATTTCAAAGGCCAGTTGAGCTAAATAAGCACATTTTCTACCCCACTAAAGGCTTATTTCTTATAATGTAGTTAATAATAAAAGAAATACTATATGTCCTTGTTGTTTCTAACTCACAACTCGCATTCAAAAAACACTGCTCTTTCATTGATAGCAACTCAAAAAAAGTGCTTGGTTTGGGGGAAAAAAACACATGAGTGGAGTCTTGCCCTTAGCATGTTGCCACCTCAAGTGTGTAGTACATAATGGGCATTCAGTGACACAATTTTAATCATTCTTTGCTCAATCTAAGTTTTAGATTCAAAAAGACCAGCTATTTTTCCTGTTTTTGCTTCATAGTAGAAAATAATTCCAACATAATCTAAAGCAGTTTCTACCATTTTCTGTCATTGAAAAAGACAGACTGACAAAAAAAAAAAAAAAAAAAAAAAACAGTTAAATTAAGCTTTACAAGCAAACTTTTTTGTTTCAAAATCATTTTTCTTTAGCTTAGTCCTTTTATTTATCAGGGGTCGCCACAGCGGAATGAATCGCCAACTTATCCAGCATATGCTTTACACAGTGGATGCCCTTCCAGCTGCAAGCCAGTATTGGGAAACATCTATATACACTCGGGTCCTCCGGTTTCCCCCACAGTCCTAAGACGTGCTGTAGGTGAATTGGGTAAGCTAAATTGTCCGTAGTGTTGTCTGTAGTTTTAGTCTTCCAGGTTGGGGGTTAAGCATTGGGCTAACAACCCACCTTATAAAAACTAGATGTAACAAAACACCAATATGATGCGACTAAATATCAACTTCCATATAAATGGCCCTCAGAGTAAGTAAGTAAGAGTATTCTTTTATTCTTAGCTTTATGAGTTTACTAAAAGAAGTTTTGTTGATGTCAAATGAATATATCCATTTTTAAAGTGACCATTTTTGTCATTCTCTACAAAAATAAACAGGCTTTATTTGTGTATTTTAATACAAGGCGACATATTCAGACTTGTCCTTCTCACCAGCGAAGGGATTATTCTACCAAAAACACATGTGGAAAAAATAGAAATCTTAAATGGGTGAAACCAAATACAGCACTGGTTACCCCCCAGGCTGGAGCTCATGTGTTCTTTTCCTTTCCAGTGTATTTGGTTGAGGTTTTAAGTAGATTAGGCTTCCAGCATTGTGGTAGGAAGTCAGTGATTCTGGTTTCAGCTAATGTTTCCTTTTGAATGCACTGCAGAAACCAGATCTATAGCATTTTCTTTTTGTTTTGGGGTAAAAAAATGATAGTTAGATGACATTAAATTACGCTTTTTAAGAAACAGAGCAGCACCAAAATACTAAAGAGTTGTCAAAGTGTTAAAATATCTTACTATTTTTTTTATACTAAGTACTGGTGTGTTGTTTAAATTTTATATATAAATATTATATTTAATTATATATTTATAATTTATATTTCATTTTCATATTTTTTATAACATTATTTACTTACTTAAATATTGTAAATATACACTCACCTGCCACTTTATAAGAGACACCTGTCCAACTGCTTGTTAATGCACATTTCTAATCAGCCAATCACATGGCAGCAACTCAATGCATTTAGGCATGTAAACATGGTCAAGACATACTGCTGCAGTTCAAACTGAGCATCAGAGTGGTGAAGAAAGGGGATTTAAGTGAATTTGAACTTGACATGGTTGTCGGTGCCAGACAGGCTGGTCTGAGTATTTTAGAAACTGCTGATCTACTAGGATTTTCATGCACAACCATATTTAGGGTTTACAGAGAATGGTCTGAAAAAGTAAATATCCAAAGCGGCAGTTCTGTAGGCGCAAATGCCATGTTGATATCAAAGGTCTGAGGAAAATGGCCAGATTGGATTGAGCTGATAAAAGGCAATAGTAACTCAAATAACTACTTGTTACAAGTGAGGTACACAAAAGGCTCACCAAAATTGGACAATAGAAGATTGGAAAAATGTTGCCTGGTCTGATGAGTATTGATTTCTGCTGCGACATTCAGATGGTAGGATCTGAATTTGGCGTCAACAACATGGATCCATCCTGTCTTGTATTAACAATTCAGGCTGCTGATGTTGTTTTAATGTTGTGGGGGATATTTTTTTGGCACACTTTAGGCCAATTAGTACCAATTTAGCATCGTGTCAACCCCACAGCCTACCTGAGTATTATTGCTGACCTTAACCATCGCTTTATGACCACAGTGTACCCCTTTTCTGATATCTACATCCAGCAGGATAATGTGCCTCGTCATAAAGCGTGAAATATCGTATTTTGAACATGACAACGAGTTTACTGTACTCAAATGGCCTTCACAGTCACCAGAACTCAATCCAATAGGGCACCTTTGAGATGTGGTAGAACCGGAGATTTGAATAAGGGATGTGCAGCCGACAAATCTGTAGCAACTGCATGATGCTGTCATGTCAATATGGACCAAAATCTCTGAGAAATATTTCCAGAATCTAAATCTATGCCACGAAGAATTAAGATAGTTCTAAAGTCAAAAGTGTGTCCAACCCGGTACTAGTAATGTGTACCTAATGAAGTGGCCGGTGAGTGTATATATATATATATGTATGTGTGTGTGTGTGTGTGTGTGTGTGTGTGTGTGTGTGTGTGTGTGTGTGTGTGTGTGTGTGTGTCAATGCAAAGCCTGAAATTTCGGGTTTGACTATATATATTTATGTGATTATTTGATGAGGACTAAAAAAGGACATCTCATCTTTGACTAATATACATTTTTGCCATATACTACCAAAAATAACACAATCCAAAATAAGTACAATGTTGGAATGTAAATTTGGAGGCTAACATTTTTTTTTAATGATCTACTTTAAGAACTTTAGTGAGCGACAACTCTGGTCCTTATATATGAAAACAAATAGCTTCAAAGTTACTCCTTCCCATTTTTCCGTTTTCAGACCAATAAAAGAGCGAGTTAGACACATACTCCATGTAGAAAGTGTCTGAAAATGCAATGGCATCCCATCAGAGGTTTAGTATGTCTTGGCCGATGCAATGTAAACTCACTCTCTTTAGAGGCAATATTGCTTTTAGGAGCACAAGGTGGGGTGGTTGCTTTAAAGTACATGCCTTCGACTGCACGTTCAGTTGCAGCAATCATGCGAATGCCAAACAGAACCTGGAATAGAGCATGAAATGTTAGCGTTTGTGTTGTTAGCGAGCCCACTATTCCCTCAGAGAGAAGTCGAGTGTATTGCTGCTGGAAAAGCAAGCGGGATAATAATTGACTGTTTTATTCAGGCGGACAGCAATCGGCGTGGGACGGACACATCTCTCAGCCGCCGGCCTGCACACCAAAAGCATCCGAAAAAGATTGCAGAGAATAAAACAAAATCCACTTCTGAACCCAGAATAAACAGTCCAACAAAACATGCACCGCCTGGCCTCTTCTCTGGCTTTATTTTTTTTACTTTGTTCGCTGCAGACGGAGCAGTGGCCCTTTTTTTTTGGAGGGTTTCTTGGGAGCGTTCATATTTCTAGCTGACTAAACAGACTAAACACAACTCTTGACTGGACGCGTGACCTTCAGTACCTTCTGCGTTTTTGTACTTGTTTAGAGTCTTTCGTCATTTTATTGGCTCTTCAAAGAATTCCATAGGAGCACCGCAGTCCCATATAAGTCCAAATCTCAGTCTTTTATGACCACTGTTTGTCACTCATGTTTCCTCCCCTCATTTCGAGTTCTGTGTTCTCCAGGTTTCTCTCCCATTAACAATAACAGCTTTTCTTTAGCTTTCATGTGAGCCTTTTTTTTTTTTTTTTTCTCTTGTCGGACACAGTTGAGACCTCTGTAGAGGAGCCAATCCCATTGAAAGTTTGTTTTTTTGACAGCTCAGGTCGGGGAACGTGTCTGGACAATGAGCCTCTAAAACGAGACTTCCTGTACCCCACTGTGGCTCCAGGGCAGGTGTACGATGCAGACGAGCAATGTCGTTTCCAGTACGGAGCCTCCTCCCGCCAGTGCAAGTATGGGGTAAGAAGGCTGCAACACACCATCATGCTCTGGGAATGTAATGTTGCTGGCTGAAACACTAAACATTTCTGGGTCAGAAAATTCAGACAATTCAATTGTTCATTGTTTTAATCATACAAAACACACAAATGAAAACTTAAAAAGTCACATTTTATTCCCAATGTTTTATTTATTTTGAAGATATTTTTAGTCAAACTTCATTGAAATCTTTTCACCCACATCTCTGGCACTTTAGAACTGGACATTTTTAAGGTTTAATCTAAGCCTTCTAGAAAGACATGGTTGCTTTATATCATGACCTAACAAGCTCATGCGTCAAGTTTCGCAGATCGCTGCGTTGGAAGGTACAAGCTTGGTGAACTATGAACTGTGGAATCGCATCATTTGACTGCGTGAGACCAATTGAGGATCAAAACATGACCTCTCTGTTCAGAAATTTAAAATATGGAGCAATCACTTGCTTTTTTAATGTCTAATCATCTTATTTAATCCTGCCCCTTTACGCAGCGCCGTACAACAGAATTTTGCATGCTTAAACTCTAGTGTGACTAGTGTGATCGCAACTTAGTTTGTAACTTTTTGATTTAGTGGGTAATTTGTATTAATTTGTCATTGATACATTTTAGTATGATTTTCTAATAAGGGGTGGAGAAAGGAGTGGGGTTTGGGTGCTTTTAAAAATAACACTTTTGAAAATAAGTGAACTTATTAAAACTATTTCTCACAATTTAAAGGCACGACCCCTTCAGACATCTTGTTTTGACATCCTTCAGGGGGGATCAAGTGTTATTTAGGGGGTCAACTTCAGCCCTCAAGCCCCAAATCACCCTCTAATTCTTACCCTGAAATGAGATCTCCAACTGCAATTAAAAATGGGACAACCAAAGCTTTTTAAAGCTTTGAAACAACTTAACCCTTTGCATTGCAAAAATTTCAAAATGTTTAACAAATACTCAGGCAAAACATGGATCAAACATGGATTGGCATTTTCAAACATTAAATTGAAATTGTAACCCATCAAATTCATGTCTTGTCTAATATTATTAAATATGAAGTGTTTTTTTTTTTTTTTTTATCAATTTCAAAGGCTTATATTGTTTGCTATTGAAATGGACCCCTGGTGGACAGTAACGGATTCCGAAATGAGACACAGATTCAGAGTTCTACATGATGTGGTTATTAATTAGCAAATAATATAAATATTATGAATGTAAACATAAGATAAGCAGGTTACATTGTAACCCAGTGTACTAACAACAAGCTGCGTGATGAGATTTGCAGTAAAAAGCAATATCGATTGGCTGTTTGCACCAGACAAAACATGACAGAAATTTGAATACAGCCATTTAAAAGCAAAGAATAGTGCACTTACTGCACACCAACAAAGGGGTAAGGTTTATGATCTAATTAATACATACTAATCCTCTTTAAATGTTTATTTTGAATCACTGATATGTGTTGGTTTTGAGTCATAGTTCTAAAGTTCAAATTCAATCGGTTTACTTAATTTTCAAGATCTGAGGTGAACTATCTGCTGCTGCTTTCAGTAGTATGGCAATAAATGTCACATGAAATGGCATTCAAACTCACATTATTCTCGCAACATGCCGGATCTGTATTCAGCACCTCTAAAATCTGATCCTGCACCTCATTTTACCCCTCATTATCCCCCTACTCCCCCGCCCTCCTCCCCCGTCCTCTATTCACTTTCACTTTGTTCCGCACCTCCCCAATCATCTTCACTTTCTTCCGCGACAACCATTCCCTGCCCCGGCTCCTAACTTATGTCTGCTACACCCCTCAGCTATCCCAACGGCCCGCTATCCCCCCCTTCACACCCTCCATCCATCCTGTCCCCCCGCTCGCTCTCTACACTTTCGTGCACAACACCTCTAAATCCTCAGGTAGTATGCCAGATCCATTACCCCGATTTGTTCCGGGACCTCGCGATTCACAAATTAAACACTGCAAACTTACATACTGCACCTTTAAGTAACCTCATTCCTTTTCATTCTACAAAAGTCTCAATAAAATGTCTACAAAGTCATAAAGCTTTTACCTTTTTACCTGAGATCAGATAAAAAATATGAAACTTGTTCAGTCCACTATGGGCAGATAACCCAAGCCAACTCAACGAAGATCCATTGAACTTCCTAAATGTTTCAAAACTGATGACATGATGAAGCCCTGTTTACGGAAATCAATTTGCTCCAAAGCACTGATTAAAAACAAAAGATTTGTGAAGGTTTCAAAAGCAGCTATCAATAACTGCAAGCATTGCAATAAAGCAAAACGTGCCTAATCTTCGAGTAACTACTAATTTGATTCTAACTAAACATGCTTTGGCAGAACATACCAGAAACTTCATCTCAGCACACGGAGTCCCACCTCACATCAGGTGTGATGTATTGCTGCATTCTGTTACATCAGTATATATATGAGAGCTCACACCAGACTATTCAGGAGGCGGTTTGGACATCGAAAGCAAGACCGCTACTTAAAGAGCTCTGAGGAGACATGATGCCGGAGGTCAAGCAGTTATTTTTACCGCTGACCCGAGGAGACTAGCCAGAGGACATGATTTGTTCAGCAGGCAACATTACAAGACAAGCTCTCTGATGTACAGAGCAGCGAGGAAAGAAAAAAAAAGAAAACATGCTGTGAGTGAATGCTGTGGTGTCTCATTTGGACTTGTAAAGAATATATCGAGTTTAAGTTTTGGTAACACTTGCCCTGATTGTGGAGAACTCTTGGAAGCATTGAGAAACACAGGTGATAGCAATCAGCTGAGATTATTTTCATTTCCTTTGAGTGCTGGACACGAGGCTGCCAAGTCGATACTCTCTCGTATCAAGTCACATGATGCCATAAATGTTGTCGAAATTAAAGATTGCTGTTTTATCAGCACCTGAAACAAGCTCCTTTAAGCAGCGTTTGAAGTGGAGCCACAAATCTTTCAGAGAAAGCTCATACTTGAGGTTTGTTTCTTTTCCTGCCGAATCTCCAGACTTTTGGAAATGATAATGATTTTTACCCAAAGAATAACAAACTTAGGCAAATAAACTGACACAGGGAGAAAAAAGAGGTTGAATGAAGCCAGGAAAATTAATGATCAATAAGAGATGGCGCTCTGCTTAGTACAAATATGCGGCTTTGCTTTCTACACCAGAAAAGAATTAAATTACCCAAGATTACAGACTTCTTTTGTTTCATTGAGAGATATATCCGACAGTGGATGAATGCACGCCAAAAAGAGAACCCTGTAATTTCTCTCTTAAGCTCATAACTGTGGCGTAGATCGGTGGAAGACGGTCTTGTAAAGAAAAAAAAAAGTCTTGCATTCCCCTGGCTCAAGTTTAATACAGCTTGTAGTGTTAGTGGATTCTGACAATCTTAATTTTTTGTGCCAACCATCTGTTTAATACATGCCTTTGGAGAATTATAACCACACCGGCAGACCAGAGGTTTGAGTTTGGTTTGGAAAAACTGTTACGGAGAGATAAACACACACCCAGAGGAGGGGGAGGAAAAAAATCGAAACCTAAAAATATATTAATATCAAAGACCTTAGAAGGAGTATGAACACCTTTTGCCTTCGATCCTTCCTGGAATTTTCTCATATACATCCTGAGCGGTGGAATTTTACGCTATTTTTCAAGAAACAAACCAATGAGCCTGGAGGTCTTTGGGACAAAGGCTGTAAAAATCCATTATTTTGCTTTAGATCAGTGCTGTTTAGATCTAGTGACTAAGGAGGATGTGGGAGGCTTTAAACTTTATCCTGCTATTTATCAAACCACCAGTTAATTAGTGGTGTATATAGGGAGATTATCACCATGGAGTATGGTAACATCATAAAAGAAAATATTTTGTGGCTGTGCAGAGTGCCTAATATGGTAAAGGGCTTTCATCAACTTCGTTTTGAGGCTGGGCTTTTTTGATATGCTATCTTGTATCTGGTTATCTTTGCTGGTGAACTTGTGGCAACATCTGTGCAGAGTTTTTCCATGTTTTGCAATTGTTGCCTTAATTAAAGTATGAATTAATTTACACTCAGTTTATTGAACTATATGACCTGAATCTTTGGTGAAAACTGAATTTTAGATGGTTAATTAAATTATTCAAAAGCGTAATTTGTTAATTATCGACAATGAAAATTAAAGGTGCAGTCGGTGATTTTCGTCAGAAACATGTATTATTGTGCTGGTTAAAAATCTCTTCACATTCCAATAGTAATTATTAAAATAAATAATATAAATGTATTTATTTGCATTTTATATTTTGCGTAAGGCATAAAACTAATAAATGTTTATCCAATTAAATAGAGTCGGGCCGACATCTTTCATAATTCCAATAAGTAACTCAAACTGTCTATCAGCAAATGCAGATTAGAACAACTACGCAGCCATTTGTGCACAGCTCAGCTGACCGATGTTTGTGCATAGACGTGCTGAACGTTCTCTCTCTCTCTCTCTCTCTCTCTCTCTCTCTCTCTCTCTCTCGAGAGAGAGAGAGAGAGAGAGAGAGAGAGAGAGAGAGAGAGAGTTTTCTCGAGAGAGAGAGAGAGAGAGAGAGAGAGAGAGAGAGAGAGAGAGAGAGAGAGAGAGAGCATGCGCATGTTTGACAAAAACATACTGAATCAAAACTTTTTTTGATTTAGTTTAACAACAAAACACAAGTAAATACCACTATTCCACCTAGTCTCTCCCTATATTGTTTATCACACAACTCTAAATATTCACTCTGAAATAGCATGTCAGTTTGTCTTAGTAATTCCTGCACGCTGCCAGGCAAGCACTAGTTGCGCTAAACACATGAGAGAGGGTTCTTTTGCTGTCATCTTTAAGGTGTTCGAGCTCCTGTTTCATGAAGCGTGGCTCTGGACGGCAGGGAAGGAACTGTTTCAGAGATTTATGCTAAGCTGTTAGCATTGTGGAAGATCACCTACTGCACCTTTAATGTATAGATAGATGGATGGATGAAGCGATGGATGGAGAGGC